CTTAATTATTATTATTATTATTATTATTATTATTATTATTATTATTATTATTATTACCTTTTCTTTGATATCTGGTGTGTACTCATTACTTATTGTGTCCCGTCTAGAGACCCAACGTCAGAATTGACACTTTCCACTGAGCAATTAAAAAAAAGAAAAAAATATTTTATATAAATAAAGCCTTTCGAAAGGTGTCGGCTGTACTCGAGGAAACAATTCTTTGTATTTCTTTAAGGCATGGGTTGCCAGGAATCCCTTCACTGAGTCTATTGGAAGCTTTTCCAATTTGTCCGTGGTATCTAACTGGGCCTTGTATTGGACGATCATTTAGTAAAAATATATATTTATTGGTAAGGTTTGGGAGAATATGAAATATAAATTTTATTATTATCATATTATTATTATTATTATTATTATTATTATTGTTGTTGTTGTTGTTTTATTTCCTTTGATTTCTGGTGTGGACTCATTTATTTGCGATTCCTCCTAGAGACTTAAGTTCAGAAATGGCATCGTGACATTTTCCACAGACCAATTAAAAAAATACAAAATCACACACACGTAAAACACACAAAACAAATAATAATAATAATAATAATAATAATAATAATTATCATTATCATTATTATTATTATTTGAGAAGAGCATGATTTAGAAAATATATAGAAAAGAAAAACACAGTACACAATTTACATTATTCGGACTTTTGTCCGAATAATGTAAATATTGCCCTCATCTTTGTCGGCATGTTTATCACAACGTTTCGGCCGTTGTACGCTCCGCCCTTCTTTAGAATGTCGAACTGAACCCTTTATTTCGCTCACTGGGGCAGACTGTTCTAGTTCTACGTGCCATGTTTAATGGATGTCAGTTATCAATTATCTCCTGTTAATTCCCCTCTGAAAGTTCTCCACTGCCTTAACCGGGTATTGAACTCACACTCTTTGGGTCCTGTCACTTGATCTAAATAATGCCTTTATCCACTGTGCCATCCAATTTGTCAGTTATCTCCTGTTAATTCCCCTCTCACATTCCAACCACCTGAAGAAGACCGGAGCGTACAACGGTCGAAACGTTGTGATAATAATGGCGACAAAGATGAAGGCAATAGTCTGAATAATGTAAATTGTGAACATAATACCTCATCTCAGAAATAGACAGTTACTGAAAAACTGTGTTTGACAATGTTAAAGAGTGTTTCGACAGAATATGTCTTCAGGTTGTATTCAAACAATTTTTTTCAATTATCATACTTATTATAAAACCCAGGTTGTGTGTGTGTGTGTGTGTGTGTGTGTGTGTGTGTGTGTGTCTGTTCGTTTATATATTTGATCGGATTTCCTACATTTTCCAACCGATTTCAACAAAACTTCACAGGACTACGTAAAATTACCTTGCGGTGATTCTGACAGCGCCAAAAATTGGAAAAACACAATTGTTTTTGCACGGAATCAATTTGAAAACACGATTAAGAGGCATCGCTGTCGCGAGAATGAACGGGGACAACTCATATCGAGTTATTATAAAACCCATGTTGTTTGTGTGTGAGTGTGTGTGTGTGTGTGTGTGTGTTCGTTTATATATGGGATCGGACTTCCTACATTTTTCAACCGATTTCAACAAAACTTCACATTTTTTTGGCAGGTAGTGTTTCTTATTGTTTTGCACACTTTTTTCTTTATTTTTACATTCAGAATGCTTTAAAAATTCCATTTACAAGACAATTGTTTATAATAAAATTCTATTCAATCTTTGAACGATTGAAAACAATGTTTTTGTTTGAGTTTGGGTTTGACCAATTCGTAAAAAAAAAAAAAACTAATTAAGACATGCGTGTCCGTTAACCTTAAACAATAATCATTGTCAATTTTATTTTTCAGTCATTATGATGGTCGATACTTGATCTATCTCTTACTGTTACATCACCGGGCAACGCCGGCCTCTACTGCTAGTAATATATATGAATCTACAAAAAATTATAATAAGTCTTTGGTCAAACATTTCTTGTTTCGTAATGAAAAAGCGGCTGATAATGAACGCGTCAAAACGAATGAAACACCGCGAACGTGAAGGCATGAAACTGAACAGTGCTTAATATGATGCCGATCTTGTTCATCTTGTAATTTTCTGTTAGTTGGTTAATTACTAAGAGGAATTAATCAAACAACTCAGAATAAATTTTCTGGAACTCTCCTGTTATTCTCTTCATTCCGGTGGCGGGGGGCGGGAAGTTAATAATTTGTTTACTTAATCATCCTCATGTATTTTAAGGGTTCACACGCCGGTAAATTCTGAATTTATTTTTTCAGAATGTTCACCTTAAGATGTTTGTCGAAATCACAAAATAGTATATGGTGAATGAGTAAATTGTAACGAATGAATTGGTCATGAATCTGATTAGTTAGTGTCGACGAACCTTTGAACAACTACCCATTTTTTCGGCCTTGTGCCATAATTACTTTCTTCACTCAGTAATAAATTGTAGACAGGCAACATTTGTACAAAAACATTACAATTTTTTTGTAGATTTATACATTTTTATACTTGGAAATAATTGTTTGAATACAACCTAACGAAGGCCAGTCATTCTGTGTCTTTCTTTATCTTTTCTTAAATTGCGCTCGTCTTTTAACTGTTGACAAATATCAGGAGAGTTACGTCAATCATTTTGTTTATTATTATTATTATTATTATTATTATTATTATTATTATTTCCTTTGATTTCTGGTGTGTACACATTTCTTTCCGCGTCCCGCCCAGAGACCTAAGGTTAGAAATGGCATCATGACATTTTCCACCGAGCAATTAAAAAAACACAACAATAAAAAACGAAAAAAAAAACATATTTTACACAGATAAAGACCTTGGTAAGGTGTTGGCTGTACTCGTAAGAACAATTTTGTTTGTATTTCTTTAAGGCAAAGGCTACCAGGAATCCCTTCAATGGCTCTATTGGAATCTTTTCCATTCAATCCGAGGGCTCCAACTACAACAGGGATAGTCAATGTTCTCATGTGCTACATTATTATTATTATTATTATTATTATTATTATTATTATTACGCCCCACTTTCTTTCCTTACGTGGCTCTTTCTCTTCCTGATCTACTTTCGCCTGGGGTCGTCATTTTGTCTTCAAGTTAAGGACTTCATCTTTCGAGCTTTGATGGTTTTCTCTCTTTTCTTTTAAGTTCTTCTTTAACTTCCTCTTCTCTTGATGTCCTTCCCTTTCTTACATCTTGCTTTCATCGATTCATCTCTTCTTTCTTTCTTTCTTTCTTTCTTTCTTTCTTTCTTCGTTAAGTTTCTCTATTCTTTTCTTCTACTTCTTTTTCCCATTCTTTAAATTTATCTAGCTTCCTCCTACTCTTTATTCTTTCTCCTTCTTTCTTTTTTTCTTTCTTTTTTTTTTTCTTTCTTTCTTTTTTTTCACTCTCATTCTTTTTTTTTCCATACTCGGATCTTCATTTCTTTTTTCACCGTTTTTTTCTTCTGTATCGACTTCTTACCCTTCCACGAGATACATATCTTCTTTCTTTCTTTCTTTCTTTCTTTCTTTTGTGTGCTGATCTCTTCCCCTTTTCTTTCGTGAATTGATATTTTCTTTAACTTAATTATCTCCTTCTTTTCGTCTTCTTCTTCGTTCTTTCTTTCTTTCTTTTTCCGTCACTTTCTTCTTCTCTCTTTTTATCTGCTGATCTCTTCCCTTCTTCGTTCCCCTATTCTTCCTCTTCTTCACTTCTACCTCCTACTTTTCTTTCTTTCTTTCTTTCTTTCTTTCTTTCTTTCTTTCTTTCTTTTCCCGTCACTTTATTCTTTCTATTTTATCTGCTGATCTCTCTCCTTCTTGTTTCTCTAAGTTGTTCCTCTTCTTCACTTCTACCTCCTAGTCTTCTTCTTCTTCGACTTCTTTTATAGAATGTATTCTTTAAAAGCAGGGATGAAGAAAGAAAACATCTAAAGGTTTGCTTCAACACCTACCAGGTAAGTAATCTTCTTAAAGTTCTCAAAATCTCGAATATTAAAGTCTAAACTAATTCCAAATACATGCAGGAAACCGAAGGTCACATGACGTCAGGTGAGTGCCGTGGGTTCGTGGGGTGACAAAAGCTTAGTAGACCGTTGATAAGCAAGACAATATCTGCTAACGTCAGTTGCTGACGATAGACCCCTCACACCCACAGCGGTATGGAGAAAAAAGTAACCGACATAGTATCTCGAAGTTCGGAGAACATACCACCGACTTGACCGTATTCCTTTCGGGAAATGTTGCGATTAAGACCCCGCTCGCTTCTTGCCTTTCCACTATGCTATTTTTATTTATACTTATTCAATCTGCTTTTTTTATTCACATCAACAAACTTTCAGACTCGTAGTAAATTCGAAGTCATCATATTTGGTAGAGATCGCTTAAGCAAAACTTGCTAACGACTATTTTATAGATAATTAGTACTTTTATCCACATAATGAGGAAAGGGGACTTCGAAAATTTGATACTCACAAGACAGATTGAATGCAAGAGGAACAGTAAAAAAAAAACTTAGTGAGCGTCCGTAAATGGATGCAAGTGCAATGTATGTATACCAGGTTTAAAACACGGTTATCGCAAGCTCACCAAAGTTAAGCAACGAACATGGTCAGTACCTGGATCGGTGACCGCTTGGGTATACTAAGTGATGTTTAATCACCGATTCTGACAAGATCAACGAAGTTAAGCAACGTCGAGCATGGTCAGTACCTGGATGGGTGACCGGTTGGGTATACCAGGTGATGTTTAATCACCGATTCTGACAAGATCAACGAAGTTAAGAAACGATGAGCATGGTCAGCACCTGGATGGGTGACCGCTTGTGTATACCAGGTGATGTTTAATCAGCGATTCGATTCAACAAGATCAACGTCGAGCATGGTAAGCAATGTCGAACATGGTTCTGACAAGATCAACGTCAAGGTCCTGCCTCTCAGTACCAGGATGTTTGATCACTTGGGATACCAGGTGCAGTTGAAACAGCGGTTCTCGCAAGATCAACGAAGTTAAGCAACTTTGAGCCTGGTCAGTATCTAGATGGGTGATCTCTTGAGAATACTAGTGCTGTATGAATTGATGTACCCGGGGTGTAATTTTCAATTCCAGTCGGATTTGTGATATTCACTTACGTGCTAATCCCTTTGGGAAGGGTACGAACCCAAATCTTCTCCGCCTCTTATCGGTTAATAAGCAGGACTTGTATGAGTAAATTCTAATCTCCATAAAATCATTACAACCTAAAAAAAACATTCTGCTTTTAAATAACCTGCAAAAGGTTGATAATCCGTAAAACACAATACAATCAATCAAAGTAGAGTTTAAGAGATGTAGCAAAAGACAAATTTTATTAAGAGTTACGAAGGACAGGAAATTAAGGGCAGCTATGATCGGCAACGTCTTGAAGGGACTAGACACACAGTAAAAAATAGATCTATTAAACAAATTTTGAAGAAATTCAACAGTTTCATATTTTTATTATATTTATTTAACTCAAGAAAAAATGTCGCACGTCCAAATCAAATGTGTCAAGAAATTAATGCTTTCGTTCGAGTATTTCGACCATCGCTACTCATTATTAGGGACGTTAATCTTGACAATCACATAGAGAAAAGCTTCTGCTAGCTTCCTTCTGGCATTGTTTATGTATTTTACGGCTAACGATGGAAATAAGAAACACGATTAAATGCCCGCATTAAATGAAATATCTTTCGCCACGGGGGTGGTCAACGTATAAAAATGCTTATAAAATATTTAATATCTTCGTCTCCGGTCTTGTCAAGCTCCGTGTGTACAAATGACGTAAATGACACGATATGCGCCTATTCAAATTTGAAATATAGAGGCCCTTAAAAATATTAATGAATGCTGAATGTTTTCTTAAAAGAAAACGGCTAATATTACCATTGCCATTAGAGATTAGGAGAACAGATACTACACTTTGATCCCTACCTGACGTCGAGTGAATGAAGAAAAGCCCCACCGACTACCACTGGCTGCCTGTCCAAACGATACTGGAAGGAATAACTAAGGAAAACAGATACTACATGTTTATAACAGACCAACCGCCATAGAATGAAAGAAAGCCCAACTAGCGTACCACTGTCTGCTTGATCAATGGATACAAAATATTTCCTTATAAGGAAACGTCTAATATTATATATATATATATATATAGATTGGGAGAACAGATTCTACACTTAGTACTTACCTACCGCCCCAGCGTAGTAGAATGTAACTCAAGGTCAGTTTATTGTGGGGAGACCGAGCGCAGGCAGCCGGGCCATCCCAGCCGTGGCAACGGTCGGTGGTGCTGGCATTGGTATTATCACCGGTCCCCCTCTTTATTGCAGTGAGGGAGATACTGCTGCTTTTCAGGACCGGACTCCTCAGTAAAATTTTCAGTTGCCCTCTTCCCCAAGACAAAGACCCAACTGAGTGGCGCTCTGTCCGATTGACAGATAAAATGTAGCTTATCCGCCCAAACGCAGATACTATGCTCCGTATTTATACGTCCTCCTGCGGTGACAGAGTAGGGTTTATTCGGTTTAAAGTGGGGAGCCCAAGTGCGACCAGACGGTCCAAGTCCACCGAACTCTCTCTCTTTGATGCAATGAGGCAGGTGCTGCCTTATTCCACAGTTATCTGTCGTGTTCTACATGTAACACAATTGAGAAATGAAATGTAGTTTGATCGTCGCAAGGCAGATACTACATATTGATCCTAGCCAGATGGCCAGGCAGTGAAGAAAAACATAAGTCAAGTTGTACCGGTCATGAATGAATATAGAACGGCTAATACTAGTATTTGAACTACTGAGGTTTCACTATTTTACTATTGAATTATTTATATTAGATATATTATATATTAGATATTAGTTGTTAAATTAGTTCGTCATTTCTAGACTAACAGTTTCTTTTCTCATACTTATACGATGTGGAAATTGTTGACCATGTTCACCATTGTCTATGAATATAGAATCCTGCGCAGTACGTAATCTGTTCATGAAACAACGTTAAAGATTAACACTCACAAGTCAGACACTCTACTGGATCTGAATATATCGCAAATACCACCAGTAGCTGTTCTGTAATTCTTCAGTCTTCGATATCAAAGGCTGCCAGTGAATATTCGGAAAAAAAAACATGGCTGCCTTTATACACGTCGCATTGAATATTTTGAGCCTTCTGATTGGTTAAGTCTTCTATTGGTGAACTATAAAATGAGTCAGCTCATTTTGGCTGCCTCACTAGTACACCAGGGTATCCAGAAATTCCAACAGAAATCCATTCCGATTTCTCGCTTCTCAGATAATTACAATCTACAAAAATTGAAATTCAGCCGAGTTCAAATTCCTGTTGAGTTCATTACATTATATATTTGGTAATGATATGAATCTTTTCTCCCCCACACATCTATGGCAAATGGGTTCTAGAGCCTTTGCTGACAACCTATCTAAGAGAAGGAAAACTCTGAATTCAAACTGTATGTAGTCCTGGCGAAGCAAATATTAATAAACTAAGAAAAGGATCGTAAGCACTGACATGATGAGACTGACGACGATCGATTACTTTTTATCTTTCTTTTTCTCACGCTCCTCTAAACGTCCAATCTAGCGATTAGAGGCCTATCTGCCGGATGTAGTTTATCGTCATACCCAGGACTTCAAAGATCTGCGTTCTGTTTGATGCCATTATTATTGATATGATTGTGATATGTTTCATACCATCGTTTCGTATATGCTGTAGACGAACTGCCATCGCTATTGGCACTGATTTATTTGACGTCAAGAAATGAGATTTGTATACGGTATCATTTAGCATTGCGTTAAATTTACCGGCGAGCACTGAAGTGTCGGAAAATATCCCGCGAGGCTGCAACACTTTTATAGGTATCGTTAGTTGTTTACGCAATTTACAATAGCAAACATCGCTAGTGCTCGAAAAGGAGTGTGCAATGATTTATATCAACAGGTCATTGAATGCTAAAAATGTTTTGTACATCTCTGGTGCTTGAAAAAGTTCGTGAAACGCCATCAACATTCAGGAAAATGCAATGATTTATATCAACCCATATTTAGATTGTTAAAAATGTTTTAAAGCTGCAACGGAGTTCAGTTCATTCCAAACCGCTATAAATCCTTCGGACTCCCCATCGGCCAACCAGTCCGATGAAATTAAGTGCTTAATCAAACCAAGAAATAAAAGAGTGTATCAACAGTGTTTGGATAACGAATGAAAGCACCGTTTTTCTTTTCGTTTTGTTCTTAGATCTTACCTCAAGGGAATAACTGATTTTTTAATCAGGTTTAACAAACTTTTTAAAAAGTGTTTTGCTATTCCAATTTAATTCACGTCTTTTGGACATTTACAAATAAGCAGATTCGAAGACACACATTTTCTGCCTTGAAAGTAGTAACTACTTTAGCATTTCGATCTCAGACACACACACACACACATATACAGAGTGTCCATAAAGTTTGTGTGCACTTTAAACAATTTATAAATTTATTTCTATTTGCGATGGAAATAATTTGCAAAAAGGATTAGAAAGAAGTTAACCTAAATTTTTTAAGGTTTTATTGAAATTTTATTTAAGTTTCCACATGTCCTCCATCATTAGCAATACAAAGGGTAATACACTGGAAAAAAGAAGATATTTTTTTTTTACTTATCTAAAAATTGTTACAAATTTTGTGGTAAAGAATTATTCAATAACTATACTTAAAGCTAGGTACATTAAACTTTATAACATTTTTTACAGATTATTTCTATCGCAAATACAAATTAAGTTATACTTTTTTAAATTGCACACGAACTTTATGGACACCCTGTATACATACATATATATATATGTATATATATATATATATATATATAAAATGTAAGCAAAATATATGGATATAGATCCGACAGTATGATTAGTCTTACTCTAATGTCCATCGTCTTTTTCAGGTTGACTTGAATATCGTCTAATGTTAATTATGTTTTAATAACTATGTCCTGAAGAAGGTCTACTAGATCGAAACGTCTGACATCGACATTAAATTAACATTAAAACAGCATGATTGTATATTCAGATTTTTGTTTTTTCATATATTTTTCTTCATATATATATATATATATATATATATATATATATATATATATATACCCCGGAGTTATATTTTCCGATGTAATAAATTATAATATATATGTGTGTGTGTGTGTGTGTGTAATCATTTCACACCAAGCAAGAGGATAATTCCAGACGAACGAGAAAGAAAGGATATCGGAAGAAAGGTGAAGCCCAAACCTAACCAATGAAAAAGCGATACACCTTTTGTTCAAGAAACTGGGGAGAGGTGTGAAACGGCCGGTAGGCTAAATTGCCCATTCCTATTGAGGAGACGAAGTAAATAAATAATTAATTATTAAATAAAATTTGATAGTTTATACTGAGGCGTGAGGAGTATAGAGTTAAAATATACTTTAGAAGTTAACCGAAAAACCAATTCTTAACAGAAAACAAGAGATAAACCACTACGCCTGTTTAAAATAACATAGAGGACTTTGAACCGGGCTATAGATTAATCTTTCTACGCTTATAGAAGAGAAAAAAATAATAAACCCTAAACACTGAAGCAGCCGATAGACGAATCTAAATACTTCTATTGCGAAATAAATAAATTGAGTTCAGGGTTTAGGTGGTGACGTTAGAAATATAGATTTGAAATAGATGGAACCGGAAACAAGATTCTAAACAGGAAACAAGGGATAAACTTCTGCTCCTGATCAAAAAGCCGAGGAGGTGTGTGAACCTGGCAGTGAGAAAAGTATGTCAAACGTAGGGTACAGTGTAACAAATGATGACATAGGGTGGATTTAACGACGAAAAGAAGTCAGATGAAGCTGATTATCTTTTCAGGAAATTACATCAGGTTAAGAGTGGTGTAGTTTTAGTTTTAAAGACGAAAAGTTCGTCTCCATTTTCGCTTACTGATGGGGAGAAATTAACGTAATTTAAGGTTACTGTTGTAAACCCGCCCACTGCTATCAATGACCTTGGCAAACGCAACCTCTTGCTTTCCAGTT